TTCATGCATTCGGTCGCCGCATCAGAATTCGACATAATTGGCATTGCCGAAACATGGCTTAGGCCAGGTGTATTTGATGCTGAACTTTTTCCTGAATCATTTAAGGTCTATCGTTCTGATCGTAAGTTTGGAATCGTCGAGGACACTCAAGGGGGTGGTGTATTGCTGGGTGTGTCGGGGGGCTTGCTGTCTGAGCAGGTTGATCTTGCCGACTTTGTTAGCAATATTACGCCCATAATTGATATTTTATGCTGTAAAATTCTCATCGGTTTCCAGAGTCTGTACATATTTACCCTGTACATACCGCCGCGTGTTAATGTGGAAGATTTTGAACAATTTTTAGGACAATTTGCAATACTGTTCCGTTTATTTGAGAGTAATGTTTTAATATTAGATGATTTTAATGTTCCTGCATATACTGACACTAATGCCATCAATCAAAAGCGGACGTTGTTAGTAGGCTTTATCGAAATGTTTGGTATGGTTCAGCTTAATCAAGTTCTAAATGTAAATAACAGATTGTTGGATCTAGTACTTGCTAATTTTGATTGTTCTGTATTTAAAAATGACATGCCACTTGTTAAAGAAGATATTTATCACCCGTCTCTTGAAATAGAAGTTAACATAAATTTTAAGCAAACTACAAATTTTAAAATAAGCAACAATCTGTCAAGGGAATATAATTTCAGAAAGGCCAATTTTCCTTTACTATACAACCTCATTCTCGATTCTGACTGGACTCCAGTACTTAATTCAGGCAACGTCGATTCTGCCTGTAAGCAGCTCTATCTCATTCTTGATAACATCTTCGACATTTGTGTTTCACGAAAAGTTAAACGACATAGAAGATTCCCAAATTATAATACTCGGGAATTAATAAGTAACATACTTAAAAAAGAGAAAGCTCTTGAGGATTTCAAAAAATACAAAACTACTTTTTATCATGAAAAATATAAGTCGTTGAGGCTGCGGGTTAAGGGTCAGATACGGAATGACTACAAGACTTTTTTACTTATTTCGGAACGTAATATTAGTAATGATCCGTCCAACTTTTGGGCTTTTATATCTAGTAAAAGGGGCCAATCTAGAATTCCAGGCATGGTTAGGGATGCTGGCAACGTCGTTTTTGATAACCCCCAAGATATTGTTAATTCATTCGCGAGATTTTTCCAGAGTGTCTATGTTGATCCAACTAATGCAAATATAAACCCCAACTTTAATAATGCTCCTGACATAGATATATCAGAGATCCATGATCATGGCGTAATTGCAGCAAGCAAAAAACTAAAGGACAAGTTGACATTCGGTGTTGACGGCATACCGAGTTTTCTGGTTAAGGATTGTGTCTATGCATTGGCTGATCCTTCAACTTATATTTACAATCTAATTTTGTCCATGAATCAATTCCCAGAGATCTGGAAAACTGCTCGTGTCACTCCTATTCTAAAGAAGGGTGATGCTAGTCTTGTCACAAATTACCGGCCGATTCCTTTACTCTGCAACTTCTCTAAGATATTTGAAATCATTTTATATAACTATTTATTTAATAATGTCAGGAATGTAATTTCGATCGATCAGCATGGATTTGTTAATGCCAGGTCATGCATGACTAATCTATCATGTTTATCAGATAACGTATGTAAAACAATTGATTCTCTAGGTCAGGTGGACGTTATATATACAGACTTTCAGAAGGCCTTTGACCGTATAGATCATTGTGTGTTGCTGAACAAGTTACAGGAATTTGGGCTTTCTGAACGGCTCACCAAAGTGTTTAGGTCATACTTGTTGGGTCGTACTCAGTTTGTAGAAGTTGAGGGTTTCAAGTCACAGGCTTATGTTGCAACGTCTGGAGTCCCACAGGGCTCTAATCTGGGCCCGCTTCTATTCAATATGTTTATAAACGATCTTCTGAGTGCCATCACATGTAATAAGCTGGCTTACGCCGATGACTTGAAGCTTTATCACAATATAAGCAATACCGATGACTGTGTTTTTCTTCAGGACAATTTGAATACTTTGAGTCTTTGGTGTATTGATAATAATTTGGGTCTTAATTTGTCAAAGTGCAACATTATCAGTTTTTCTCGATTAAGGGCACCAGTTGTGTATGCTTACACTATTGATGGAACTGCTTTGAACCGACTTGATCAGATAGCGGATCTTGGAATCATATTTGATGCTAAATTCACTTTCATTCCTCAATTAGACAACCTCACACGGTCGGCCAATCGCATTCTAGGATTTATAATCAGAAACTCTCGAGACTTTAGAAACGAATCGACTATTAAATTATTATATTACTGCTTTGTAGGTTCAAAACTAGATTATGGGGGCATCATTTGGAACCCTATCTACGCATGTCATGTGAGCTCGGTGGAGTCGGTTCAGCGTAGGTTCCTGAAATATCTTGTTTTTAAGTGTGACGGGGTGTATCCGGAGAGAGGATGTGACAACAGGGTTTTGCTCACACGTTTTGACGAGTTATCCTTATTTATTAGACGAAAGATATTATTGATTAAATTTTTGTTTAATTTGTTCCACAATATAATTGATTGTCCTTTCCTTTAGTCTAATATTAGCATTCTGGTACCTCGTTTGAATGCCAGACGCTCACTAACCTTCTTTTTCGATACTCCCCGGACAAATGTGTTATTCCAGTCACCATTATACATGATGTGTTATACTTTTAACGGGATCTGTGATATCTGCGATATTTATAACAGCCCTATTAGTTTAATTGTTGAAGAGTTGGTGAGAACACATACCTAACTCTACTACAGAGGCAACTTTTTTATACCTTTTTTTTTCTCTTCTCTCTAATTTAGTTTTTAATTTAATTTTAGTTAATTTTTCCTTTTTTGTTATTTTGCAATCAATATTGATTTTCTTGTAATTGGGCTTCTGGCCTGTTGGAAATAAAGACTTATTATTATTATTATTATTATTATTATTATTATTATTATTATTATTATTATTATGGTTGAACGAACACATTTAGTGTTAAGGTATAAACAACGTAAATCCTAATTGTTTTTATAATTTCTCATTAATTGGCTAGGTTGCTTCATCCGCGAATTTTGAATGCTGGCTCTTGATTGGCCGAAGGGTTCTCCAAAGAAGAGGAAACCTCCCGAGAACTGGAAATGGTTCTCTGAATAATTCCTTTCGATAGTATGTACTAGAGCGACTGGATTAGACAAGCAGAATCACTTCTATTACTTAATTTTCTTTTATATGTCCTTCAGTATCTACCCTAATTATTGAATTCATGTTTTATTTGGTTCATCTACGTCTAAGGGGATTAATAGTTATTGATCTTTTAGAGTCGATGTTTCTATTCCCTTGCGTATTTTTTTTCTTTTATCATCTCTTGGTTTTATTTTTATACACAGGTTTTGGATCGATGCTTATGTCATTTGCTTGCTAGCAACTTCAGATAAAAGACAGTCGAAACGTTGTGAAAATCTGATAGAAATCCAAAATTTTTCATTCATCGAAAAATCACCTGCTACCATCAAACAAACTTTTTCCTGTTGCTTCACGTCTACCCCGTAGAATGCTACCCTCATAAACCCTAATTCTAAGCCATTATCACATTTGCTTCGTAGTACCCCTTAAAGCCTATGATTGGATTTTTTTTGAACTAATGTGAATAAATTATTTTCGTAATTTTATAAAAATTGGCAAACGCTGAAGAAAAAGCCAAAGCTAGATTATTAAAAACACATTCAATCCACTTCACCTCAGTAAACTTTGACCTCAGCCACTTACTTACTTTTGTTTTTCTTTGCTTAAGATTTCAACTAATAAACAGTGTGTAACTGTAACTTTATAATTATAAGAAGTTAGATAGAATAAAAGATCCGGATTACTGTAAATAATTTTTACTCTAAAAGTTTTTAAATAATCAAAAATCAGACAAAGGTCACCCATTCGAAAACACACTGGGTTTCTAATAAAAAGTCAAATTTCCCAGAGTAATATTCTTTTACGATGGCGTCTTTTACTATAAATATTTTTATTGGAAAGCTAATAAGTTTCCGCATCTAGCTGCAAACATACGTAATTCCAATTTATACCATTCTGTTGTTAATAAGTTTAGGCTGTATAAATCATTTTAGATATGATTCATCCCTAACACAATATGTATGTATAATATGTCTAGAGGAAGTATCGGTACCACGCGACGTGACGTTACGTTATTAGATGTATCGGTTTGTAGGACAGTAATAGATTTTCCAAGCAAAGCAGGTTGTGAATAAAATAATCGTATCGTAGAAAATATAGCTTTCTCAAGTTATCTTAGGGGATGCAGTCGGTTGCTTGTGTATTTTTTGTGTATATAGGTAAATATCTACACCTTTACTCAATCCATCGAATAAATTATTGAGTTCAACATATTAATTATTATTATGTAACTAACATGGTATATAATACATTTATGAAAAGTAATAATTATTATGTTTTACACAATAAATAGGAAAAAACAAATTATTCAAATTTAAAATAAAAAATGGACATTATACAAATCCAAAACTAAATTCCGGTTATATATTTGTCCAGGCACCATACATTATTATGTAAGTCAGGGGATTTCTGGCTTTCGACAGTAAATACGATGCCCGAATGAAAATATTTCTCATTTATTTCCATCTCGGGACAATTCTTTGATCCGTGCGGTATAACGCTGTACATTAGATTGATTTGCTGTATGTTATCGGAAATGCTTCCTCGGATTACTTGTTTACTCAAGTTTCAGAATCCTGCTTTAAGTTGCTTCATAATTTTGAACAGATAAAAACATGAAGGAGCACTTAGAATAACAACTTTTTTTTCGAGTTTTATTTTGGAATCAATTTGTTGAATCTTGGTAAATCTACTGATAATTTGAACCTAAGGCTCAATTGATCTTTGGAAAATTTGAATACCCATACAAATTTAATCGAAATACTCGACCTTTTATCTAGATAAGTGAAGTTAAAACGCAAAATTTACGATCACCGTGTATACTTACTGTAGAGTCTGATGGTCCCATCTGTTTCGCCCCTGGGATTTTTTGCGACGCATTTGTAGGTTCCATAGTCACTTTGCTGGATATTATTGATGGTAAGCCGCATGTGGGTTTTGTATGCTGGTTGACCTAGAGAAAAGTATTATAGGGTTAGATGACAAAAATTAGTAAAATTTGTTCCTTATAAAATTCACACTTTTAAATTATTACCTACCTATTAAATTTTCTGCATGGTATTTTCTAGATTCGTGAATCATTTGTCCATCTTCTCTCGTCCAATAATTGAGTGAGCTAGGATGAGCCTCGGTGAAACATTCCAAAGTAACCGAGTAAGCTAGAGGTGCTCCAACAAGCTGATGAGGAATCCACAACATGGGTGGGACTGTAAAAAAATGTTTGTTCCTAAATTAAATTTTCAGATAAGTAAACTATTCTAATCGATTAACATCGAACAATAAATTCAGAAATTTATTGTGACCAGCTTCCATTAAAAATCTAATTTGCTGGGTAGTAACTTATAAATTTGTGTGTTGGCCACTATAAACGGCGGTAAAGTATCATGTGGACAGCTGTAATGGTTGCGCCCTTTGACAATTAATTAGAAAGTTCACGGTTTATCAAGTTGATTATATCGGTACAATACCATTGCGGCTACTTTAAAATATATTTCTGTCAATCGCTGACACGTGCATATACGCTTTGTCATCAAGGTAATTCAATTAATGATTGAAATATTACGAGACTAGATTAAAATTGCATGTTACAGATGTATATTTCAATCTCAACCAATGTCTCAAGGACTTAAGTTCCCCTAAATTGGCTTTCCATTGTCACTCGGTGTGTATAATTTTCAAGCAGTCCAGAGCGGTGTCCATTGTAGTGCTGACAGGAATTGCACCGAGTGTTTCCATTATACAATGGATACTAATTTATATTGTTGACTGTGCCACTGCTGTAATATAAACAGTTCAGATATTGTTGCCCCGGTCAACCACTATTTCACTGGAATAATAAAAATCCGGAATATCTAAATGTTTTATTTCCACAGTAAATCATTCCGGGAATATCTCGTCTACGCTCGTTTTTTTGAAGAAATGCTTTCTTTGTTCATGGTTTGAGTTGTATGAAAATGTTTTACACAATAAATATATTACATATTCTGAAAGAAAACAAAAAAATTCTGATTTTCCACAATTTTTGCCTTTTTCAGACAGAATAACTGAACTAATATGCCAAGGTTGAATATTATATCATAGAGCAGGTATAACAACGTAATTGGAAACTAGGTACGGAGGTCACGATATAAAAGTAATAATAACAAACTTTTTGTTTTCTTCCAAAATTTGTAAAGGATTTCCAATTATCGGCTAAACCAATCTCTCTAATAAAAATACGTTTGAACCAAAATCATGTATATTTTTCTTTAGAAAATGCATTTCAAGAGAAAGAACGTCTCAACATTCATTTCCTCCGTCGAGAATCAGCGCAAATAATTTAAAATTAAAGCTGATTTGTTGTTCCCGTTGAAAAGACGTTGAATCAAACACATCGCCCTTTTGTTTCTTCTGGTCTTTAATTCTGCAAGATTAATGGCAGCCATCTTTTTCACGACGGGGCTACATTACCTTCTATTATCCTCGCGAATCACACACCGGCCTGTTTTGCATTTGAATAATTTAAACAGGTATCAATCAGGTCTTTCTTCAGGAATCGGCTTCGTTTTTTCTCTTTTTATAGCTTCTCGTATTTACTCAAAATGCTAAGGAAATCGCTCAATGTTAATGAAGTTTTTGTTCAGTTGATGTTTGAAAAATTATAATTTTTTTCCAATTTGTTGGCTAGTTTTACAGATTTTTATTGTTTTCTTTTCTTTTTTTAACTATTAGAATTAGATCACGTTTTAAGTAGTCATTAGTATGAAACTTGCTTTTTTGAATTTGAATTTAAATTTGAATTCTTTAGTCAGTAATACTTCATTACGAAAATAGAAATAGGGATTAGTATTTTTGGAAAATAGTTCCTATTCGTTGCATACCTATACCTACTCAGTATAGAGTTTAATTTTGGTTATCAAATGTTTAGCACAAATTTCTTTCTGGGAAGTGAATGAGATTGAGCCTTCACGCCCGAATAGACCTCTTGCACTCAATCGAAATTAGGTATATAATTTATCTGTGACGAAAGTTTATTTTATGTACTACATAAAAGTAATAAAAGTATGGTTGGTTAATTTTTTTTTTTAAATCTTGAAGCCAGAAATTAAAAGAAAAAAAAAGCAGAATATTTGAATTTTGCGCCATGTTTTTGCACCAATCAAAAATCACTGATTGCCAAATTTCCATGTTCTAAACGAATCTTTTGTTTTTCTTTTTTAATACATCGAACAAAAAAGGAGGCATATATTATATCAAAATCGCTTTGTGTATCGACTTTGGTACAGCCCTACTTTTGACATGAAAAATAGAACGACACTTAATGAAGTTTAGAAGTTTCGACAATTATGTTTCCTTGTCTAAATACGAATTAGACAAAGAGATCGGTATATACCTGTGCTAATCCGGCACAATATAAAGTACGAAAACGATAAAAGAGATTTTTACTCGTCGTGATGATTTTTGTTTATTATTTGGTCAGTGACCTCTGGCTAATTAACCTATCTCAATGGCTTTTACAAACCCTTTGTCCATCACAAACAAAATAAACAATAATTAACAACCAAAAACAGCAGGCTGGGGCTGCTAGTGAACAAAGCAACACCATTGAAGTCACTGACACGGGGGGATTACTCAAAATTAACCAATAAACGGTTCCGAAAGGTAATGTTGAAATTATCTAAAACTCAAGCAAAAACAATAAAATTAATTACCTATATAATAAAATGTGTAACCAGGATGTTTTTGCCTGTGAAAATGTAAAAAGTTAGTCTTGTATCGAATAGGTACAGACACATAAAAATTATAGTCGCGTTTTATTTCCCATGAACCACTTAAAAGAAAAATAATAATTTCAATAGTTATTTGTTGTTTATTTTATTTGTGATGGAGAAATGGTTTGTACAATCCGATTCCGGAAATCGGCCAGAGGTGAGCATGGATATGCTTTCGGAAATCATAAGGTCTGTTTCTGCAGAAATCACAAACCACTCAGAGCCAATTTCATTGGTTGAAAACAGTCAGAAACAATCAGAAAACTAGTTCCAACCAATGAAATTGACTCTGACTGGTTTCTGATTTCTGCAGAAACAGACCCTATGATTTCCAATACCGACTATTTCAGTGCCGAAATTAACAATGTAAAATTAAAGCTCACAACACTAAGTAAGTATTAGTAAAATGCAGGAAGAGCAACCTTCCCCAAACGATGATTCCTTTATTGCCTATTGGGTAGAAACGTCTAAAAATTTAAAGGCACACACTGGAAAATGAGTATTTAATTATGAACAATAACATAATGGCCTTATGGGGTTATGCTTGGATTTATGGTTTGTGTGTCTTCTGCCTGTTTCGGAGTTTTGGACAATAGAAATAAAAATAATAAGATTAAACAATGAACTAAACAAACACACTGGAAAGGCGGCTGCATAATTGTTTCTACGCAAGGGTTTGTGCCAGGAAGGACAACAAACAAGAGGGATTTGCATCTCTCTCTACGCTATGGCGGCTATTGAAAACAGCTGTTTGAAGTGTTTGGATCATTGAGGTTAGGAAGATGAAGAAGCTCTTCTTTCTTTTACGTTAATCGCAATGAGTGCGAGCGAAACAACAATCCCTTTGTATTGGTGGGTTGCATATATCAAAATTCGGCACACTAGCATAAAGTACAGTGGCTAAACAAACTGGGCAAAAATAACAAACTATTCCTCCAGTGAATACCGGGACACGCAGGAATCGCTGATAATGAGAGGGCGGACCAATTGGCGAAATTGGGAGCACAAACTCCGCTTCCAGGATCAGAGCCTTTCTGTGGCATAAGCAAAGGAAGAGCAGATGAAATGGATCAGCCTCTGGGAACAGCTTCTAGGGTTAAGGCAATCAACAATGTTTCTTGGGAGATCAAAAGACCTTATATCACTGAGTAAAAACAATATTCGCATTCTCACTGGATTCCTCACAGGCCACTGCCGGGGGTCGGTTTCTCAATAGCGAGTCACCTCCGGGTTGGTTTTAACTCTAGGTTACACGTGTCCAGTTGCTATGTTTACCCTGGAGTTATGCTTAACCCAGGGGTGACCTGCTATTGAGAAACCGGCCCTGAGAGTATTAGAATTGGAAAAAAAGACAGCTGCCGCTTCTGTGAGGAAGGGAGGGAAACCCCAGAACACCTGCTCACGGAGTGCGAGGCGATCGTAAACAAACGAATTGCCTGCTTTGGATGCTGCATCGTTGGACGGGAAGAAATTCCATCCAGCTTACTTACGTTCATAAAATCTTAAAAGTTGGATGAGGTACTTTGAGTGAATATCATATCAACCGAAGCACCCAGAAGGGGACACAATAGATCTATGCGGGTCGCAGTGTAACAATACCTCTAATTCATTCATGCATTCATTCATTCATTCATGCCCACTGCACCATATTGAATATTAATAAATGACCGACATATTATTAATCAATTGAAGTTTTCACTGCTGTCGTGTGGTCTTAAGCACACGCCATTTTTTCCTAATCCTTTATTGCAATTTTTTTCTTGTTAGATATTTCGTTCCAATTTGTTGTTCTTCGATCATATTATGTTTTCGACATTTTGACTTTCGATGTGTCTGTATGTTTAAAGCACAAGCTTAGTGTAATAACAAAGCTATAGAAAAATAAATTAAAAAGTATAAATCTTCACCCTGTCATATTATGCTCTAGAAAACGTGCCAAGCGCCCGCAGGAACAAACCTGTAAGCCTCAAAACCGCGGGTTTTAAAAATTCTTAATTTGAATTTCCTCATTACCGTTAAGATTAATTCAAATTTTATAAGAGAAGAAATAAATACCCACTCACCAGCTATTACTATTCATTAGAACGAACAACCTGAAAGTCAGCCTTAATTATTACCGACAGACGGCCGACAGAGCGGGGAATATTTTAGAAAAGTTTCGAACAAATGTTTTACAAAACTGTAGGAAGCACCGGGTAAAATTTTTAACTTATTTTCTTAATATTTATGCCTTGGGTTATTCGCAGAAGAAATATGTTCATTAAGGTATGCAAAAGAAGCAACTGTAGTATAATGTTACGAATTATGTTAACTCCTATTTAAATATTTTATCCGAAGGTTGTCGGAGTGCCTCTTGCTTAAATGCCAAAATTAAAATTAGAGAGATTCATGTTTTCGCTTCCTGTATTTTTTATATACTTTTGCTTTTTGAAATCATATCTAAATACATAATATGT